AATGAAGGAGCTTAATATGTTTTAATATGATATTTCTCGTCTATAATTTACTGATATATTTAATTTATATTTGAAAAAATGGGTGTCAAAAATTAACCCGACATATCAAAACGACTCAAACTTAACTCAAAAAATCCAGATTACGGTTGACCCAAACATTATTTGAGCTGGGTTCATGTCGGAGAATTCAACATGTAAAAAATTAAATTTGGGATCAGGTCGAACCCGAAAACCCGAACATGACCTTAATAAACACAAAAATGTTTGATTATATATGTATATTATTTTAGTGAGTAAACGAAAGTTGGTTGTAATGTTAACGCTTGTACCATTGTTTGTCATATATAAACAGAGAATTTCTTTTAATTTGTCCATTATTACTTGTTAAATGTTAGAAGTATAACTTTCTTAAAAAAATTGAGATGACATGTTAAATCTGCCAAATTCGGGCAATCCGTCTTTGGGTTGTGTCGGTTTCGGACCGAATTTTTTGACTTGTATATTATTCAGGTCGGATTCAAAATTATTCTAATTCTGAACCCTATCCGATGACTCGAATTGACATCCGAAGTTATAATTATTAAAGTATAACTTTTCATTTCCAAATAAACATTTATATAAAATATAATATAAATGAATGCTTTTCACAAAGTTTGAAGTGAAAAAAACACATACATTGTCCCACTTAAACCTAAAAAAAGTGACAACAATGAGCTCAATCATTTACCTGTTTCCAATGGTGGAATGAAGCTTGATAATGATCTCCTCTTCCTCCTTGGATATACTCCCTCTCTTGAGGTCAGATCTAAGGTAGTTTATCCATCTCAGCCTACAGCTCTTCCCACACCTCAGCAGACCTAACTTAGTTAGAGGGACAAACATATCGCCAGATAGATCAACAAAAAGGTTCATCAAAATAAAATTAAAAGAGACACTAGCAGAGTCTCTGGGAACCTGCATTCTTAGGAAGTGACCTCCATGAACCTTCCCCATTCTCTGCAATGTAATTCACCAGTATCTCATCCTCCTCCATCGTCCACCTCCCCTTCTTCAGCCCCTTCTTATCGCAGCATGGCGCCCTCCCCATCTCCCTTGTAAATGTTGACAAAGCTTGCGGGTGGCAAGAGCAAGGTGATACTGAATTAAAAGAGCTAGCTCGTGCTGACACGAGCGGCGCAACATCGCCCACGTGTCCACCGATGTCAGAGAAGGTTGTCGTGGCCTCCCCATTCGCCGTCTCGGTTCAACCACGTTGGCTAAATGCGGTTCGCGCTTTTAGCCAGTTTGCGTTGCACCGGAAACGTGGCACGCGGTAAATCCACTTGAATCTACGGTGACCAACACTTAACTGCATTAATAATATATTTTGCCCTCCTCTCCTGATGCTTTTGAACGAATCTTGAGACATATTCAATGAGTTTAGCAATCATGTATTGTTTTGTTTTGGGGATGCCATTGGTTAGGATCTAAGTTTTCTTTTTCGGCATTCAATGCACGTCTCATTTAGCCGAAGGATACTTAATTGGGTGTAGGTGAGCAGTCCATTAAATTTTTTTGGGCTGCTCTAGAAGCCACTATGGGAATGGAGTAAATAAATTGATTACCTAAATATCGATGATTAGTTATTTTTGCTGTTATAATTTGGCTAATCACAACCATTATCAAATTCATTTTTTCTATGTATTAAGGACCATTGCATGAAGACATCATCAAACATTGCTTGCTTGAGCAATATGTAATATTTATAGTAAAATTGTAGGGGAGTATGGTGGTTCAAATGGCTGAAAGGATTTTCAGGATAAGAGTACTCCTCTCGGGCATGTGGTGAATTTAAAATTGGTGAAAGCAGTTTGAAGAAAAGAACAAGAATAAAGCTGCAAGACTGGTTTGGAGTTGGTAATGATAAAAGCATGGAAGGAGATGAAAGGACAGTATCACAAGGGAGTTTGGCACGCATTTGTAGATGCAATTCTAAATATCGAAGGTATTATAGGTAAACAGAGAAAGTAAGATTTAATTTAACTTTAGCAAGAAGATGGGTCAGTAGTTCAGTCATTAAATATATTTTAATATGATTATTACAATTTTTTTTTTTTGTGGTTAATTTAGAGCCTTACAATTTGTTAATAAATAATATTGTTTTTGTTCATGGGGAGGTTTTTGTTCATGATGGTGGTGGAGAAGTTGATTTAGACATGAGAAGCTATGAACGATGATTGGAGATTACATTAACCGTGGAACGATGAAGACATATCAATTTGTTATCAACAAGGAAAGGCGTGGAGACATGGAAAGACTGTTCAGGTTGTGCCTCACACAACTGATGCTATATAAAAATTGGATCGAATCAGTATCTTCTATCCCTAGTGTAGAAAAAGATGACCATATAGATGTATGTGTAATAGAGTTGTAGGTGATATTGAATAATTGCTTTTTATTGAAGCCCTTCATTAATTGTCATTTTCTTTTGGAAAAATTTCTGCCTTGTTCATGTTAGTCTTATACCAGTACTTGGTGCTGTTGTTGAGTAGAAAAAAAAGCCAAATTATTCTATCAGGAGTCCTAACGTAGAGGAATGTTCAGACGCCAATAATAGCTTGACACGTGGCTTTCACGGACCCGTTGAAATCTCCAAGAAAAAAAAAATGCGCGCTTGGCCCGACCCGACCCGAATGTTTACTCGTAAAAGCTTCGCTTCCTATTTGCTTTTGCCGCGCCCTGTTGAATAAGAACTGTTCCATTGGTTTAGGGATTACAACTTCAATGAACTCCTCCCCGAACGACGACATGCTTGACGTCTTGCAACCATCATTTTCGCTGGACTTGGAAGATGAAGTGAGTTTAGCTAAAACTTGAAAGGTTTTAGTTTTGTTTAGCTCAAACTTGCTTCTTTGTTGTTTGCTTGGTCCGATAATGGTGTTATTTTTATAATGTATGTTATTTTTATTTCTTTAGGGTTTAGTGAGATTGAAGCTAGGTTTAACTTTTGCACTGATGTTGTTTAATGGTAAAAGTTTAATGTTATGTGTGTGCAGGCTTCCTAGGCTAGACTGTGTTATTGTGGTGCTACGCTGGGTTTTACTGTGTTAGTGTGGTGTTATGCTGGGTTATTGTTGTATTTTTATGGATTCAGGGTTACTTTTTTTCAATGTGGTATAATAGTGGTTCTGTTCAGGTTTAAATGGTATTGGTAATATGATGTATTTTAAGTTATTGCTGTTGTGTTATTGAACTATTTTGTTGTATTATTCTTCCATTACTGCAGTGTTATTGTTAGTCTTAATGGAGGTACTGGTATGTTTTTCTTCTGTATTCGATTGGTTGTTGTTGTGGTGTTATTTATTAGTTTTTTTATGGTGTTTTATGGTATTAGTGAACTGTTATTATTATGAATGTCAGGTTATACTGTGTTATTCTACTGTTATTTTGCTGTTTAGCTGGGGTTGTGTTGTGTTATTCTTTGCTGACAGTGGACTTAATTTGTGGAAATGTGCAGTCATGTGAGCAGAGAACTATTTGCATTGATCCAATTGCAGAGAAGTTCTTTAGTTCCATCGTCCACAGTGAGGAAGAAGCTTAGCAAAACTATTGTGCCTAAGCACATCATGTAGGTTTCAGTGTTCGGAAGGACCACAGTAGTTATTGGCCGAATTCGAAGAAAAGGAAGACCAAAGCTTTCCTTTGCGGAAAAGCTGGTCACAAGGAGGCTAACCTCATTAATACTGTAAAGTACATAAAGTTAGACACCAGGACTGGCTGTCAAGCTATGGTTCGCTATGGAGTTGACCTTGAAGGCAATTGGACAGTAAAGAAATTCATTGAAAGTCACAACCATCCCTTGGTTGAATGTGGTGATAAGCATATTCTTCGTTTCAATAGAAAGATAACTGACTTAAATGCAAATTTCCTGAGATCAATGACAGGATCAGAGATCGGAGAATGAATGCATATAACTTCATTGCTACGGAGGTTGGGGGAGTGGAGAATTTGGAATGCACAAAGAGAGATGCGTTCAATTTCATTCAAAGAGAAAGAAGAGAAAAAATGAACAAGGAGATGTTAATGCTTTAATACAATTGTTCATGGGGAGACAAGTCGACGATAACATGTTTGCATGAGATTTCCAAACTGATGAGTATGGTAGACTAACAAGTTTTTTTTGGTGTGATGGGTTAGCCAGGCTGAATTATGACTGTTTTGGGGATGCAATCATTTTTGATACAAGCTACATATTAAATAAGTATAACTTATGTTGTGCTCCCTTTGTGGGAGTGAACCACCATTGGTAAAACGTCCTGTTTGGGGTTGGCTTCTTGTCTGAGGAAACTATTGATTCTTCCATATGGTTATTCAAAGCTTTTACAAGAATAATAGGAAACAAGCATCCATTAAGTTTTTTTCACTAATCAGCACCAAGCAATGACAAGGGCTATTGAAGAATGTCTCCCACAAACACGACATAGATGATGCCAATGACATATCTACAAAAAAATTACTTCAAAAGTGCATTGTGGAGTTTCTCTCAAGAGCGTTACCTGTCTTTTTTTTATAAATGCATGAGTAAATGTGATTCAGAGGAGGAGTTTGAAGAAACTTGGTCCTTAATGATGTTAGTGGGTGACCTATACAATAACGCGTGGTTGCATGAGATGTAAAAAATCAGACACAAATGGTCCACTACCTTCAATAAAGAAATATTTGGAATGAGAATTCTATCAACTTAAAGAAGTGAGTCAATCAATAATATATGTCATGGCGTTTCAAAGCCCACAATCTCCCTGACAGATTGTTTTATCAACCTTGAAAATATAATGAAATCTGGCACAGGAACAAGAAGGACGAAGATTTCAAATGTAGCAAATCCATCATGGTTAGAGCCAACCCAGTTTTGAGGCAAGCTTCCTTATTTTATACAAGGAAGCTTTACTCAATGTAATGTTCGAGCAAGAGCGAGCAAGAGCTGCTTAATGGTTTATGTGGACTCACACTTGAATTCTCCATAGATAGTGGGTCCAAATATTATATACGCAAATTGGATAATGATGTCACATCCAAGACATGGGTTGTCAATTTTGACAGTGTTAACTCCAATGTCGCTTATAGTTGCAGGATGTTTGAAATGAAGGGGTTGTTGTGTTTGCACGCACTACATGTTCTTAATGTGGTTAAAATAAATATCATTCCTTAAAAATATTTGTTATTTAGATGGTCTAATCATGCAAAAAGAGACATCTATAACAGGTTTGAATACAAACATTTAAGGGAGTCCCAACTGATGACAATTTCTTCAAGTGGCCTCCTATTCCATTCACAATCTCAAAAATTTGTGTACCAACTAATCAATAAAGCACAATGAGATGAATTTACCGAGCTGATGTTATGGGAAACATTTAAAAAGCTATCTGTGGATATTGACGAAGCAAAAGCTGGACAAACACCTATTATTAGGAGAAAAGCAAAGAAGAAAAAAACAATCAAATATCGAATGTAATGTGGCTGACCCAACAAAGAGGAGACCAAAATGTGTTTCTACTTAAAGGCCGAAAGGATATTGAGAGAAAAATAAGAGATCCAAGAATATTTTTCTCTACATTAAATGAACTACTTCGATCTAAGTTTTATTTCCCTTATCTAAACATAAGCTCTTCTTACAGGAAAAGTCCTTGAAGAATCAACAAGACGGGAACCTTCTATTCCATCTGATCCAATGATGCCTAACAATCTATGTCAGGTATAAAAATGAAGTCTAACATGTTTTTCATTAGAGAGTTTTTTAAATCTGTTTTTCTTAAAAGTGTTTTATTTACAACATGACAGGATTTTTTTTCCTCACAAAGATCCTCTCAAACATTCACCGGACTATTATTGATGGATTCCATAACTCAGCTCTGATGTATTACAAATTAAATTTTTTGTGTTACAGCTTCAATAATTATGGTGTTGTTGATGTTATTGATGTAATACATTGGTTATGGTGTTGTTAATGATACATAATTAATTTTTATGCAAATACATGTGAAAATCATTACTATTGCACATTAATAATACACATACATTCTGATATCATCCAATAACATGTCGATAACACCTTAATAACACAGCGATAACACCTTAGTAACACATCGATAACACCTTAATGACACAATAAATACGAAAATAACACTATTATCAATACCTCGCCACACGTTATTCCACCCTAACGTAGTCCAAATATTCTTTCCGCGTTACTTTCATTTG